CAGCACACTCCCCACCCCCCGCCAGACCGAAGAATCCTTGAATACGTTGAAATTCACTTGAATATGCCGTATTCACCTTACAAGGTCAGTCAACGCCGAAGCCGACGTTTTTGTCATCTAAGACAGGAGTTATGACAAAGAAGCATAATGTGGGATGACATAACGGTCAGTTAAAGGAGAACTCTCCAAGTATCGAACAAGAAACAGTCTTTCAAGAAAAACAAACCTTTTGAGCAGTTGTACGAAACGCGCCTCGTTATGAGGATCAACACAGTAATCCAAACAAGAAGCGTTCAAGACGAGACCAAATGCTGCCTCTTCTGTGATTTCGCCTGCTCGACTGACTCTGCAAACCAAAATCATTCAGGTGAACAACTACTTGGACATTAGCCATTGCAGACTAGAATCCAAAAGCACGTTTTGCCATAAGCGAACAGGCGGAGGGGCTAATAGTATAAGGAGGAGAGCCGCTCGCCAGTGAAAAGGCCAATGGGTGTAGGTGCCTCCTCTCGCGGAATGTGCATTCGACAATCCACCACTACCAGCCTACACAAAATTTGTATAGTAGGGCCTTATTCATGGAACTTCAATAACACGGTAATATTTGTATGTTAGTATTGGATAGTGGCCAACAAATTGTAAACTATGATGCACAAAAAATAGTGTTCTTGAAACTGGTGTAGAACAGTTACGATTTTATAGAAAGTCATTACTTCAACAAAATTGCTCTGCTATCTTCACAACTTACTACGCCAGCGATAGACAACCGTTTCGCTGCACACTCCGGATTATGTCAGGAGGGCTGGGTTTTGCGCAGCCTCAGCCTGTTTTCCAACAGTCGTTGTCTCTTGTACACTTTACAGTTGGTGGAAAACGGGCTGGCGCTGCGGCAAATGCAGCAGTCCACCCACCCCGCCCTCCAGACTTGCCCCAATCCTGCAGCGAAAGCGACTGTACGTTTGTTCTTACAATATACTGTTTTCCCAGAAAGAGACGTCTTTTGAAAGAACGAGCTCCATCAAGTAATGACTAGGAAGTAAAGGATAAAGGGATAAAGCTTCGCCGTTGATCAATCCCTTTGTGGGATGCGGCACGCATTCTACTTCCATTCAGAATCGTAGTGGCTTATTGAATGCGATGTGGCCTATACAATGACTTGCGGTGGCCAGCCGATGTACAAGTCAGTGTTTTATCCTCCCAGACGAATCTGGTACCGGCGAATCTGGTCCCGGAGGTTAGACGGCTCGTTGGGCCTGGGCAGAGTCGACCCGGCATCTGAACCCAGGACCGCGCCAGTCACTACCACCACCTCCGCCTCGACCACGAAGTATTTTCAAATCCCATAGACAAGAGCGGTCCATGAGGATGAGAGAGCGTTTTGCTAGAAAATGAAAAATTGGCGTTGTTACGTTTTTTTTTGGCGTTGTGTGCTCATGATTATCGCAATAATAGCCTACAACTCTACCTTTATTCTTACTGTTTTCTATACTCTTTCTATCCTGTATCACCTGCTATGAAACGTCGTAAATCGTATACAGCAGCTTTCAAGCTAGACGCCGTCAATTATCGTGATTTGCATGGAACCTTGGCAGCGGCCCTCGTGCATTTAGTGTATGGGCTCGTCATTTAGTTTAGTGTATGTTTATGTTGGGAGTCCTTGTTGTTGATATTTGTGAAGATGTGTTGAAAGAATTGTTTGGAAATAAAATTTTAAAATGTTTTTTCAAAATCATTTTTTACCGGTAAATTAAACCGCTCTTATCTATGGAATTTTACTGATCGAATGGGCTCTTCAAGTTCTATCCAGAGATCAAATTCCGGCATTTCTAGAGAGATTCCGGCAGAAATTCCGTTAAAATCGCTATTTTTCTATATGAATTGTTTATTAAGTGGGCGGGGCTTAGAGTTGAGGGCGGAGCTTCTTCTAAATTTCGATTTTTTATTTATCCATCATCAAGTTGAAAGAGGTGACTGCACTCAATTTCAATTTCATTGCAATTCATTTTTCATCGGTAAATTAAACCGCTCTTATCTATGGGATTTTAGGGCGAATAAGTTGACGCTAAGAAAATCACAAAATAGTCTTGGGCTGACTCCACACCCACCGTGTGGGAGGAGCGGGGACGCTGGCACTTGTGGCTATACGCTCGAGCATGTTCTTTCCCTGAGACAAGAACGATTGTCCTCGTCAATGGAAGAGCAAATAATCTGCCTTTTTCGCCCTACGTAACTCAAGTATTGAAAAAAAAATCACACAATTCATGAATCTGAGGCTGAACTGAGGAATTTCCCAGCCTGGAGCGTGTCCTGATGCCTTGAAAGTTAGATATCTTTATTAAGGATACCAGCTCTTCTCTCTTGGGCAAGGTATCTGGTACTTCTCGTGGATTGTTAATATTAATATTTATCGTAATCAAGGTACAAGCCGCTCCTCACCGTGCAAGGTGCTCATCCAGTAGATCGGATACGGATCGAACACCATTGGCACCAACATTGAGAATGTCCATTGCGCTCGAGAATAGTCTGAAGCAAGATTTTTGAACTGGCATATTTTTCGATCCCAACTTCACTGAATTGCTGAAAAAATGGGAGTACCGTGACGAAAACGCAATGTTGACAGCAGTTTCCACTTTATCACCCGTCAAAAGCCATACGCAAATACCAGCCTCACGCAGAAGATGAATGCATTCTGGTACCCCTTCTTGGAGACGATCTTCAATTGCAGTCACACCTGGGAGAAAGCATTTCTGGATTAGCTACTGTACGGAGACTCCATGTTGGAAACATAAGCTGACGAGAACTTACCTAGTAATTCGACATCCTTTTCCGCTTTCAGTATGCTGTCTCGGACAAGGTTCTCACGATGGTGGGGGATCAAGCTCGGCTTCCTCATGTAGTGCGCGCCACGTCTAAGCATCTCATTCAAAATTCACGAAACGATTGTCAAAAATCCACTCGAGAACGCGGGTTACCTGGTAATCTTCTTCGCTCCAGTACTTCCTAGCTAAGCATAGGGTTCGCAGCCCTTCCCTCGCGTAGTCAGACAGATGCTCTTGTGCCTAGTGGGTGACAATTAGGACTTCAAACAAAAAAAGGCCACTGAAAGGTAAATCTTACCTTGAACACTTCCTCCTCCCCTATCTCAGATGTGAGGTATTCGTTAGCCAGAATCGGAAGAACACTAGCGTCGGCACCTTTAGTGAGAAGAATGACCCTCTTTTTTCCGGTGCACTCTTGCACAATCACGGACATTCGCTTGCGATCAGAATCGAACGGCAACGTATGGAGCAGCTGAACAGACGGAGATAGAGAAAAGCTCTCAGAAAAAGAGCGGCGCAGCGACAATACTGCTCACCTTATACTTGACTATCTGAGCACTGGCTCTCAGGTGAATGTTCACTTCATCGAATCTTCCGTCTCAGCAGACGCACACCGTATTCCCTGGCAGCTTCAACGAGTGCAAGCTCATCTGGAGACTCAGAGTCATAGTAGGAATGCAGTGGAGCCGTCGTGTCGGAAGAAGACTGCGATTGGCGCTTGTCCACTGATCTGAAAACTCTACTTTTACAACACTCGGATATGGCGGCTTCAGGAGTAGAAGAGGTGAAAAGTGCAGAAATCTTAGGTATCATGTAAAAAATGGGAGAGTAATGGCAGGATACCAAGACCACAAAAGCGTATACAATGCTTGAATTCAAGAGCTACCACTGAACGCCTAAGAACATGAGTTGGTTGAGATAACGGATGTTCTTTCGCAGGTGTGGGTGAGCCGAGTGGAGGATTGCGACGGCGCACCATCGCAAAGGGCACCGCGCAAAGTGTGTGGTC